TCAAACACAGTCCTGTCGGGGTGTTTGTCTCCCCACCCCAAAACCTCCAGCATTTGCTGGCCTCAAGAAAAGGGTATGCCTCACCCAGCAACAACTTCAGAGCACACAAGGCAGCGCTCTCATTTGCCTCTGAATATCCGGCAGATGGGTGCCAGACTACATACAGATGGGACTCGGTTCTCTGTCCTGATGTGGTGAATCCTATACGGAAAAATGCCACTCCCCACCTGACACTGGAAGAAGCTATGAGACCCTAAGGAGGGGAGGTGTATCTGCTTCCTGGGATATAAGCCCACCATGTTTAATCCTGCTTGGATATGGGGGAGGGAAAAGAGGAGAGACAGCGACTTGGCAGGAAAGGTACATGCCAACCCCAAATCTTAGCAGCTTGCTGTGCATGCAAAGAAAGTCAACTGTTTCCATGTTGGTGGCCCGATCCACGTTCTGGCAGAACGCGACCGGCCATTTCTGAGGGCCGCTCGGCCGGAAAACCACTTGGAGACTCCACCTTAGCTCACAGGAGAGGTATGGGAGGGAAGGGAACTCACTCCAACACTTGGGAGGCAAGGACGGGAAGGGTTTGTAGACAGGGTTCCTCCAACATGCAACTTGCCTTTTCAGCTCAGAGATCGCTGCTTAGTCCCAGAATGCCTTTCCCTCCAGTTCAAGCAAGCCAAACACCTTCCCAGACACACATGCTTCGATACTACAAAATACTCTTTTCTCTAAGGACCATCTAATACCACTACAGTTTGTGCAATCACTGCATTTATTATTCATTTTTAAACTCTCTCTCTCTCGCTCTCTCCCTGTAGAAATTTTTTTTAAACTTTTCTTTTTTTATGCAAAACTAATCATTTCACTTTTTCCACTCCATCATAAAATCTCCTCTAAAAACACGACAACAAGAGAACAAACATTGCACAGACACAGAGAATATTTCCCTGTTGTTTTTTTTTTTTTTTCCTAGGGGTTATGGGGAAGGGAAGGGGATACTTTCAAATAAACTCCTCCCTCAATCCCACGCCCTTTTTAAAGGGGCATGGATTGATCTTCTTTCCCATCTCCATTAAGGAGCAAGGGCAAAAATTCAGAAGGAGGAGCGTAACCCACGTGAATACGAAGGTAGGTTAGTCAGCCTCAAGTGGCTTATCCACCTGAGGGAACTTGAGGCTGCTGCTGCATTCAAGTTAGCAAACCTCTAACTCAAAACAGCGCGGGATCCTCATTTTGGATCCAGAGGTTCAGGGTTTGGTTCCCACCTGGTGACACACCCAGGGAGAGATTAGTCACACAAGCAGTTGAGCTGTGTCTGCAAGCCGGATCATACTCCTTTCTTCCTCCACAAAGAGGATCTACTGCACGAGTTCCTCTGCTGCAACAAGTCCCCTCATCTCCTCACCACAGGAAGAAAGTCCTCACGGAGTATCCCTACAATGACCCACTGTTTTGCTCTTCACAGACAGTCCCCTTGCTTGTCACTCTGAAGAAAGGCAAAACCCCTTCAATTAAACAATTCCTGCCCCCTGCCCCCAAAGAACACCATACAAGAGACACTGGGGAAAAGAATTCTGCCAAGTGAACACACCTTGGCCAAAACACATCAAGAGTTTCCTATTAAAGTTCCCTTTTATCTCCCACTTAAACACTTCAATTTTTTTTTTTTTTTTTTGCAGAACCTCAATACCACAAAACAAAACACATCACCACATACACACCAAACAGTAACTTAACAACCTAAAGTGACTGGCCAGTTTGCATCCATCCCACAAAGAAGCTCCTCTTACCTCACAGCCGCAGAATAGTTCTTGTTGAGAAGAGGGGGGGAAAAAAGAGAAGAATCTCCTTGTTATTTCCCGAAGAGCGAGCTTTTCCCTATGCCTACAAACTGCTCATCTTTGAAGCTGCAGTTAAATGGATAGGCTGTACTAAAACAAGGGATCCCCGGGTGTGCCAGGCACAGGAGAGATGAAAAAAAGAAAGACACAAAAAATACAGGCAGGTATTAATACAGACACGCACACAAGTCCAACAAGTTATAGGAAGCCTTAGCTTGGTGAATGGATTGGGGAAGTCTCTCTCTCCCTGCCCCTAGCTTCAGCTGTGAATGCAACCACATCCCCAAAGAGTCCACTAAGCTCTTTAAGCAAAGAAAGAAAGAGGTGTGCAAAGGGTGGTGCTAACAGCACCTGGAATTCCCCCTCAGACTGTCTGCGCAGACACTCAGCCGCAACTGGTGTGAATTCACCGTGCCCCATGGCTTTGAATGTCACCCGCTGCAAGGCAAGGCTTGTGGGGAGGGCAGCAAAGATTTTATTACACCAACCCAGGCGCTGGAGGCGGGGAAGAGACAAGCTCTGGGCACAGAAGCCCTAATTAAGGTCAGAAACTGGTCTACCGCCCCAACGATACCCCTCAGGCAAACAAATATTACCTCTCTCCCACAAACTGCCTCCCTTCTATCCTCAGACCACTGCAACCACAAAATCACAACTCCACATGAGAGCACTCCTTGGAGCTGGCAGCTCCCGAGCATCCTCATGTGGAAGCACCAGAGAGGCCAATTCCACTTGTGTTCACCCACCCCAGGGCAGGTTTCTAAGTAGGTGAGCCCTGGTGTGGGGGATTTTTTTTCCACCCTTTTCACCTCTGCAGCATGTTGTGTAGAAGTGACACCCCTCTGCCCCATCCCAAATACCAGGGACAGAGCTGAGAGGGTGAGGCTCTCCCATGGATTGATTACAGCACCTCTTTTCCTTGCCCCTACAGGCTCAGTCCTGCGCGAGTAGGGGGAGGAGGGAGAGCAAAGGAACGGCATCTCACCGTGAAGCTTAGGACCCACACAGAAATGGAGCAAGCCAGAAACGGCAGGCTAAAGAGAGAGCTTTTTTTGGATGTGAACAAGGGTGAGATCAGGGCAAGAGGGAGCTGTGAGTAAAGAACAGCAAGCTGTGGTTTTGCTTGCTCCTACTTGCTAGGGGCAAAAAGAAGGAATTTCTAAATCAGCTCACAGGAGCTCTGGGGGGAAGAGATCCAGCACACATGCATACGATGTGAGAGAGACAGTTATTTCTTATTAGCACCTTTGGTTGGCAGTTGTAAGGGCTGTTTCAGATGCTGAAAAGACAGAGGGGAACCCTCTTCCAGGCCATCCACCACAGGGAAAGGAGAGCAGGAGAGACAAAAGGAAGTAGGAAGAGCAAACGACCTGCCTTAGCATCCATCCCTTCCTCCTTCTGACTGAGAGGGAGGAAGCAAAGAGGGTTGGGGGAAGCTTACACGCAAGGCGGGAGACCAGCCTAACCCGGCTGGGGCAGCATCATGCTGTCAGCGTATCTTCTCCCAAACTGAAGGATGGATGCACGGCCCACTCCCACTTCCACCACAGAAAGGCCGGGGAAGGGCATTTCATGCCCTCTCCCCCAGGCAAGTGCAAGTGATGAACACCAGGAGGAAGGTCTGGGCCAGAAGCAGACTCCCCTTTTCTTCCCTTCCCCCTGCAAAGCTGAGCAAGTTGGAAGATGCAGAAGAAGAGGGACCAGGCCACCTGAAAGCACCCATACAACTGCCAAGCTAGCACCAATAGTCAAAAGAAAGGGGAAGCTAATATGGGGTGTATGCTGCATGGGGTAACCCCCAACCACCCCAGCTTTGTCTCAAGCACCTTCCAGGCATGACGCTTCACCTGCCCCTCTCCCCTTCGCCCTGGGGGCATCCGGATCAGCCACTGCCACAAGGACAGCACAGATGGCGGCAGATCCAGGCCGCAAGCCAAGAACAGGAAGGATGGCAGGATCGGAGTCATGGCAGGGGGGAAACATAGGAATGGAAGAAACTGCATGCACATTGTGGGAGAAGGCTTGGGGTAGTAGGGGAGGGCTCCAGTCCTCTGACACCCTCCCCTCAAGGGTCTGGAGCTCCTCTTCAGTTTTTGTCAAAGATGGAAGGGGAAGGAGGGGGAAGAGCACCTTCCCCACCACCCCTGCAGGCACACAGACACACACTCACCCATCCCTCATCCCCAAAGGCTCCACCGCCAGTTGGACAACACCACATTCAAGGACAAACAACCACTCCCCAAGCCCCACCGCGATCCTCCCTGCCTCTCCTCCCAGCAGCAGTGACACCCAGGAACAGGGGGTGTCCCCGCTCCCCCCACTGACACGCTCCAGGCAAGAGGAAGTGGGCAGGAGGAAAGGAAGAAGAAGGGTGGCAGTGAGGGCAGAGGGACAGCCAAGGGGAGAAGGAGAGAACTAAGGACAGCCATTCGCACCATGACTTCTTGCAGGTAGAGCTCCCCCCATGCCACTGGAGCGGGGGGACCTGGCTGCTCACTTGCTGCCACCTCCGCCGCCACCGCCTGCTGCCACCTTCTCAAAATCTTCTGCGTTGCAGAACTCCTTGATGGTGACGGTGAGGAGGTTGCTGGTGACATCCGTGACCACCACATTAGAGCAAGGGGACATCTCAGGACGCCAGTCGCCAGCTTCCTGCTCCGGGTCAGAAGAGGAGAGGGACAAGGAGGGCGTCTGTCCCCCACTGCACCCTCCTGGGGGAGAACGCTTGCTGGTGGCGGCCGACTCAGGTGGGATTGAGAGGTCAAGGACCTCTGACTCACGCCAGTCGGGGATGGCTGGGCTGAGGGTCTCGGGGAGCAGCTTCGGAGGGGAATCATCTGGGTCAGACGAGGAGTGGGGGGCTGGCGATGGGCAGCCAGAGGAGCTGGAACTGGGGGCATCATAAGGGGTTGAGCCCATAATGAGCCCACAGGAGGCTGCCTGGGAGCCTTCGGCCTCCCCTTTGCCCTCCAGAGAGGGGGCAGGTGCAGTGGACGGCTTATTGTAGAGCGAAAAGGCGCCAAACTTCATGTGGCGGATCTGGGTGCGGAGGACGCTCTCGCTGAACTTTTTGCTCTTTCCAATGACGCGGTTTCGGGATGGGATCTTGGGCCGAGCCAGGCCCCCGGCCCCATTGGCTGGCTTCCCACCTTTGTCAATGACTTTGAGGTTGAGGATGATGCGGCTGCGCTTGGGCTCACGGGGTTTAACCTTACGGTTGATGATGCGGACGGTCTCCGAGAAGGGAGAGACAGGAGGACGGATGCCAGCCCCACCACCCACGTTCCCACCGTTCTGGGGGTCTGGACGAGGCAGGGGCCGCCGGGACATGCGGTGGCATCGCCGGATGTCTTTCTTGAGCCGGTGCACCGCGGCGCTGGAGTGGAGCTTGGGAGAGGAGGTGCTAGAACCAGGCTTGACAGAAAAGTGTACATCCCCAATGTGGAGGGCCTCCGCTTGGGCCCGAGCCTGCGGTGGTGGGGAGAGAAAAAAAAACAGGGTCAGAGAGGCAGGCTAGGTGTAGCCAAATCTCAAACCTGGCATTGCTCACCTCAGGACAGCGCTTACCAGCAATGTCGTGTCACATTTATACCCATATTAATGACAAGCACACATACACACCTATGGACTATTGATAGCTATGGCACAGCCCCCATACAAGCATGGTACACTGTCTATATCCTTTTTGGCCAGCTAATTAATCCCTAGGCACTGCCCGCATTGACACATCCTTCCCCCAGGGGGAAACTGCCGCCCTCTAGTCATGTTTCAAGGTTACAGTTAGTGGTTTCCAAGGCCCCCTCTCAGTCATCACCAGTCAATGAGCACAACCCTCCACTGTCAGCCAAACAACCAAGCATCCTTCTAGGCAGTGGGGCTGTTCCTGTTGCATTAGCATCCAAAATTATATACTAGTCCCAAGATAGGGGACTGTATCCAGTCCTCAATGAAATGAGCACGAGACAAGGGAGAAGGGAATAGTAATGCATCCAGTTTGCTCTTTTCCCACAACCAGACTCGCCTGTTTTGGTAAGTATGGTAGAAAGGGGCCTTTAGGAACACAGAGGGAGGTGGGTGAGGGTGGTCTGACAGAGCTGTCTTTAGCTAAGTACAAGATGTGCAGAGATCCGAAGCTTAACTTTAACTAGAGACCACAAGCAACGTTTTTATCCTTACTCTACTGTGGGAACAAGGTTCAGTGCTTAAAGCCAGAGACCAGGCCAGCTGGAATTCAAGTCAAGTTTAACTGCATCTCCAAAGAAGAGATTGCCTTGTCCTTTTGAACACTACATTTATTTGAAATCTACCAATGAAACAGAATGGGAACAGCACTGTTTCAACTGCCTGGTGCCAGCCCTCTCTTAGAGCCAGGGCAGGGGAACAAGACTTTTAAGCTCTTCTGGAGCTTGGAGATAGTGCCAAAACCTGGCCTGATTCACGCACCAGAGACAGGAACATTTTCTGGCAGCAGGAAAACAGTTTCATTGGTGAGCTGAGGCAATATGACCTGAAGACCCTGTGGGCATGGAAACCCAGAGCATATTCTTACATCACCCCTTGTCAGAGCATGGTTGCTTGTAGAGCTTAGCCTCCCACCTGCACCCCATGCCTTGCCCAAACCAACCCCCTTCCTTATTCTCTCTCTCAGCAGTGGTCACAGGCAGAGGTCACCCAGGCCTGGAGGCGACAGGGGAGCCCTCTTCTGATTGCCCATCTAGTGAGTAGCTTCCCCCATCTCGTGGGCACAACAAGAACTGCAGTGCTAGAAGACAGCTGCTTTTCCTCCCCAACTTTTCCATCCTGTTGCCCCCTAGCACACGCCAAGATTGGGATGGCTTTTTGCCAGCTAAGAGCTTAAGCACTCCAACACCATCTCCTTTGTCACCCTGCAGGCTGTGCCTCCTACCACAGAAACGCCTGGGGAAAAAATGTGCGTGTAAAGGCAAGGATCTAACAGACCTAAGCGAGGGGCCCAGGCCAGCTCTTGCACAATAAGCTCAAAGCCCTGGCCCTACATCCCCAGAACTCTGTTGTCACCCAGTGCCCCTCTTCTCCCACCGAGATCCCCATGGGAACCGCAGAAGATCCTGAAAACAGAGACGTGAAGACATTTTGCTCCTCCCTGGCTAATGCTGTACCCTGCAGTACTACTTGTATTCTGGCTTTAAAGGGACTGCAAAAACGAGGCCTCCTTCCCCAGCTGTATGTGAAAACGCAGACTGAAGGCTCATCTGCACCAGGGACTTTATCTAGACTTTGTATTAGACAACTGACAAAGAAATGGGGATGAGTAACATGACTGTCAAGGCAGGCACAGACACTCTCCACATTAACCCTGGGCTGTACAGAGCTGTTTCATCTAGCTACAGGGAAGCATCCCCCACTCAGACCAACCCCAACACGTTCTGCTGTAGCAGGAAGCATCCCAGTGTCTAGCTAGTTTCTCTTTGCTCAGCCTCACACATTACTCCATGTCCCAAACTATTCAGAAAATGAATAGTTAGATACAGTTCCTGGCCCCAGCATCCTAGAGGCTGGAGCACAGCAGCAGCAGACGAACTCCCTGCACCACACATCAACTCTCTCCCACCCCCATCCCAATGATCTGCAACCCAGAGACCTCGCAGACCCTGTCAGGAGGTCACAGGCACAGGCAGATGCACATCTAGGGCTGCACTTGCTCCCTGTCTTCACAGGTCCCGCTGAAACAGATGGCAGACACCAGGACAAGCTACAGCTTGCTTTCTGACATTACATACCAGCACAGCCTGGATTAACAGTTTCACTCTTTCTTTACCCCTGCTTCCCCATCACAACCAGCCTTTCCACCATTGGTACTCTTGTGCTTTGGGCTTCTTGCCATTTTACCACTACTCAGTGGAAAGCTAAGTGCAACACGGTGTCCTGTTCCAAACTGCAGGACAGTGAAACCAGGCAGAGGGTACAGATAGATGCACAGGTAAAAATCCTTGATCCACAGCTTCAGCAGATAGACACAAGCACCCTTCAGGGTGTCTCCTGCTGCCAACACCGCATGTCTTCTAGAATAATTCCCTACCCTGTAATCATGCTTTGGCATGAGGAGTTCTGCCCCCTCTGCTCAGAGCTGCGTCTAATTGCCGCCTGCCCACAGCGCTGCCTTCCATCACCCATGTGATAAAGAAGCAGGCCTCCCTCCACATCTCCCCTGAGCCATAGTTACCTTACACACACCAAAATTCCTCAAAGCCTCCCATCAACCATGTTAAATGAAAAGTGGTAATGCTGGGGTGGTCACTGCCTGACCACTTCCACAGCCCTGCTGATTTTACTTTCTCAGCCTGTGCACATTAATCAGCTCCTGTCCTGTTTTGACACAGACCTGTCTTGGGTTTGCGCTTACACAGCGGCTAGCACAGAGCCCTGGTCCATGGCTAGGAATTTTTAAGTGCCAGAACCACTAGGTCTCCTTTACTTGCTATGTGTCTGTGTTTCCAGTTACTTTTGGGGCACTTCCTCAAGGCTGAAGCTGTTTCTAGAAACTCATGTTTCAGCTCTCTGCATTTATTAAATTCTGGTTTCAGTAGCGTCCAGGTAGGCTGCGTGCACCATCAACCTCTTTGCCCAGATTATTAAGAGGGTAAGCTGGGACCCTGAGGTGCTACACTGCTGTCCCCAGTGACCAGCTTCAGCACAAGTTCCAAAGAACAATATGCAAATATTCAGCTTAGCTTGAGCTTGTTTTTCCAGGTAAGGTTTCAAGAAAAATGGTATCAGATGCTTTATCTAAGACCAGCCCCGAGAGCCCTCTCACTTGCAAAGCTCAGTATTCCTACCACAGGATCAGGTTTATTCAGGCATCAACTATACAAACTCAAGTCTCATCCCTGCAGAGGACAGCACATTTTCTGGGCTCTCCTCCCCCTGCTTCCAATTTTACATTAAGTAACTTGCTACCTCTGGTTTGCGGAAGATTCAGCATTCAGTTTTATCTGTTGGAAACGCACTCCTCCCTGCTATGGATCTATTACTCAATCACACTCACGAGCCGTATGAGCATGAGATCTTTTAAAAACAAACCCATTTAATCCTTTCGGCTGTGTCACCACAGTTTGCTACTTAACTCAGAAGTTTTCCAAATGGAAACTACCTCTGGGTTTTGCAGTTTTCACTTGCAGGATCTGCTCACTGCTGAAGAGGCACTCAACATGTATACGAAGTAATTCACTCCCTGCTTACAGTTCAAGCTACACCAGGATGCAGCTTCTGGAGGCTTGCTGCAGTGCTCTGTCACAAGAGCAAGGCAATTGCTAGGACTGCTTCCCTTCCCCCCCGCCCCCCCTTCCCTTTTGGGATATGGATCACCTTTATTTAGCTTATACAGCTTTTTCTCATTGCCCCTGGGAACTAGTATATCTCCCCTGTTCCCTACTATTTCTGAATAAATGTCCCTTGAGGCCCAGCAAACATATTTGTTCATTCATTCCCTGAAAGCACTGAGGCACACAAGCACGTACATGGACACGTGCTTAGAAAAGCCTCTCTTACCTGATTTGTATCAAAACCTCTGCAATTTAGAAGAAAAAAAAAAAAAGGATAAAAAAAAAAGAGACCTTGTCAGGCAATGTATTTCTAGTTAATTATTTCAAAATCAAGTCATTTCCAGTAGCGCTGCTGCACCATAGTAGCGCTACTCTCTCATAAATTACTGGTTCTGCTTTGTCTTTTATTCTCCACCTGCATTCCCACAGTCCTTGCTCCAAAGAGCATTCGCAAGAGCTCTTCTTTCCCCTTTTTGGCTGCCATTCTGCCTTTTTATCGCCCTCTTTCTTCTGCAGTCTTCCAAGTGACAAGGCAACAGCAAGCCAGTTCATAGCACAGTTCTCCCAAGCAACACTGCCATAAACTAAAGTTTCCCTACTGGATGGGGAACAAAATGCTACAAAGGGGAATGGTCTGTTTTCAAACCGCTCGGGGATAATTTACGAACAGGGAGGAGATCAAAAGAAACCCAACTCCAACTTTAGAGTTCAAGGAAGGGCGAAGCGACAGAACACCACGCCGCTCAGCCCCTTCTTCCCCCCCACCCCCGGCTCTCCCTTATTCTGGTCTCCCTTTACTTTTTCCTCCCCGTTAACCTTCTCCAGTCTTTTCACCTTAGTATTTACAGCCACCCCAACTAGGGGTCTTTGCTAGCCACCCACTGAGCTTGCAGATTGGGCTCTGTCTCTTAATAGCACTTGCTAGACTTTATTAAATTAGTTGGCGAGTTTTGCATTCCTCTCAGTGGAGTGCCGAGGGAAAAACAAAATAAAAGGAGCAAACCGAGCAGGGGAAGAAAGGAATATCGCGTGTGCTATGTCTCTTTCTAACCCCACACCAGCTTCCACTCTGACCTCCACCTGAAGGGCCTGTCCTCAAGGACGACTTCTGCCAGACACCTAAGTAGTAAGGTAAGAGCCTTACATACAGTGCTGCCCATCTCAGACCAAGGACTCTGCTTCCCATACACTCAGCACAAAGCTTGCAGCATACCAGCAGCCTCCCAAGAATTACAACCTCCCGCCAAGCTTGATCTCAGCTGTGGGAAAGTTTGCCCCTAGTACGCAGAGGATAAAGACCCATTTCCTGCCCAAAACTTTGCCGCTGAAGTTTGCGGGGGTCACTTTCAACACCAGCCATCTTGATAGCTATATTACAAAGCCTGGACTATAATTTCCCTTTGCAGTCTGATCGAAAGGGCAAGTGTTAGACAGCTCTCAGCAACAGGAGCCTGGCTTACAAAGGCAGCAGGTGGCCAAAGATGCAGCTTTTCAAAGCTTTTCCAAAGGCGTGGGCCACTAACCTGCTGGAATGCTTTCTGCAAATCCCCCTGGGTGCCTATCTGCAGCTTTTGAGAACTAATCCCAGGATAAACCTAGCCCCAACTGCAAACTAGAACACCCACACATGCCAGGGGACTGAGCAGCATATCAGGGCACTTATTTCAATGCCTTACTGGAGACTCAGAAGCCTAAGTTTAAGCACTGATACACGTCAAAAATCCTAGCAAGCCACTGAGTCGAGGGCAGACTAGTCTACCAAAGCAGTCCTAGGCCAGACTCCTGCTTAACCGTCATTGCATCCAGGCCTAATCTGTTCAGTTAACAGATCAAAAAGAATATTGTTCTAACTGCCAACTCCAAAGACTCCCTCTGGGATGCAAGAGTCAAATTTCTTCCCCTGCTTCTGAAATTCTCACTGGCAAGAGATTCTGCATCTGAAAGAACTGAAAACATCATTAGCGATGCACAAGGCAAAACCGAATCCCACTCCTCCCACAGCGGCTCCAGTGCTGTGGGTCTAGCAGAGGTCTAACCCGCATCTTCGGCGGGTCAGAAGAATTGACCGAGAGATGCACACGACACAAGCTATCATGCTGGTCTCAGTCATGTTTCTAGCTGCAGTTGTGCTGCAGTGCTTTGCCTGAACAGAGCTCAAACAAGTTCAGATAGGGCTAGCTGAGATAGGGTTACTTCTTGCTGCCTGGCCTGGGGTGTTATTTTTAGGGTAGGAGCCGAAGTCACAGAAAAATGGCAAGCCAGAGCGCTAACAGTTTCGCCAGCTCCTCTCCCCAGAGCTGCAAACTAAGCAGCAGTGGCAGCGCTCTGCCCTGCCAGCCTCTCCCACAACGTGGCACCAGCCTTCAGGAGAGCTCATCTCGTTCCCTATCACGATCCATCTTCTACAAAGTACCAAGGCAGCTCCGCAAACCTACGGGTTTTCAGCAGCGTTTGAGAAGCTGGCAGAAGGAAGATGTGCCACAGAAACATGTCAGGGATGTGATTCAAAGAATGCTGTTGAATAATTCAGGTTCCAAGTTTAGGGGGTTTTTAAAGGGCAAGGGGAGAAGAGGGGGAATGAGTGGGTTTTATTGTTGAGTTTGGGGGTTGGTTTTGGTTTTCTAAATGAGAGAAAAATTGGCAGTGGGTTTTGCCGTATCACATTCAGAATTAAAAAGAGAAGAAGTTGATTACACACAGAACATTAAAAGCACAGCATAAACACTTCTCTACTGCTCTGAACAATGTCAGGTGTTACAAACACCAGTATTTTTTTTAATTCAAGTAGAGAACTATTTTAAGCTGGTGGTTTCCCTTTAAGCGTTCCTCTGCATTGTTGGAAACCTAAACACAAGGGTTTCATTTAATGCATGACTGCCAGAAAGAGAGAAACCAACTAGTCTAGTTTCCCTGAATAAAGAGTAAGAGGTAGTACATATCAGTTATGTTTGTAGTTCTCAGCCTGCATATAAAGAATACCGTTAGCAGAAAAACAGGCAATGAAGAAGGATAGTTCCATCAGCAGGACTTTCCGAGGATTACCACAGTCCCCTGGGTTTTACTCAGAGCATCAGAATACGCCTGTTCCTGCATTTCTTCCGTGTGCTTCATTATGTCCTCTTAAAGCAGAGGAGAGGTGACACCCTACCCCTCACTCACTGCTCTTTCCAGTGCTCATACAGTTAAAGTGCTGCACTGACTCGAGTAAAGCTCCTACCCGCAGTCAGGCAAAGAAAAGTATTAACCTGTTTCACAGATGGGAAAACAAGCACAAAGGCTAAATGACTTGCCCAAAGCCATAGGATGACTTAGTGATAGTGATGCCTTACCACAGGGTCCACCCCAACTGTTCCAGGGCTTTATACTGGATCAAAACCAGGGAAGCTGTGAACTCCCTCATTTGTCTTAATCGTACAAAGGTGTGTTGTGTTTCTACATTCATTTGAAGTCCGAGATCGAGATAGTTGGAGAGGGAAGCGGGGGTAAGAGGGGAGCAAAGCAAGGAGTTTTGTCTGTAGACTAAAAAAAATCCACAGACCTCACATAGAAGTCACACAGCTACCAGATTTCCAATTAAAAAAAATAAATCAAAAAAATCGGGGGGGGCTGCATTAGGGACTACCTTGCTCATTCATCACTACAAGCAAGCAGAGATGCCACAATACCTTCTTGCAGAGATGCTGGGTCTACGGGAGGGGAACTGGAAACTTCAGCTATCCTACGCAGAGGTGAAACACTCCTCCTTCCCCCCAGCCCCCCAAAAAATAAGCAAAACAAGACCGCAGTTTACAGATCAAAACATGAACAAAGGTTCATGAAAGCATGAAACCCTCATGGAGCACCTACATCCTGAAACATGATCAGAGGAACACAAGTGGCAGCAGGACTCCCGCCACAGCTGCCCGATTGCTCAGCACGCTGCTAAGTTGCAGGGCACAGGCTGGACAGAATAGGCTGCTGAAGGAAGAGGGAATGGGGCTGGCTATCTCCCCACTGCGGCAGGAGAAGGCCATGAAAAGGGAGAGGATATTGGAAAAGACACTGCAGCCTCACTGTGCACATCCGTGCATACCGACCATCCTGCTGGGGCACCCGTCGCACGCACACATGCTCTCCCCTCACATGCTTCTGCGTCCCTGCCCCCCATCTGCTTTCCCGTCGGGTTGTCCCCATGTTCTCTGGGCCAGGCGGCAGGCACAAGTCACTTGAAAGTCCAGTCCTTCCAAGGGCACGAACCAGCAAGGTTTGAGAGACGTTTGGCTAGGCCTAAGTTATTTAAATAAGAGTTACCTTCAGGAGAAAAGTTTTAGGCTTAGGTCCTCTCTTCTTGGGCCCATACAGCTCACGCTCTCGTTCCCTTTAGGGAGTCAAATTTGTCAAGAAGTTAAAACTTTTCCCAAAGGGAGAAACAGAAGCAAACAAGTTTAAAGAAAAAGAAAGAAAAG